AAAAAAGTAGATCATAACCATATTTATGATAATTTTCCAGGCAAATTTGCCTGGAAAAGCCTACAGTTTAAGGAATATGTTCATTCCTTTATTTATTTGTTACTTTTGATTATTTTGATTCATCAAAAGTCATATGATCTAACACTTCATTTTTGCTATAGCTAGAGTACTAGTATTTTACATACATATATATGTATATAACACAAATCACTTATCACTTATTAGAATTTAGACTCGAAAAATTTAACTCAATTATAGTTTATTCATAGCAAACCAAACTTTATTTTTTTAAATATTTTGGATTTGCAGTTTGTAAAGATCTTTAGATTAGTAGATTTATTTTATTTTATTTGGTACTTACTTGTCTCTCTGATACTTATAGTGGATATTTTGGCTTCTTTTGCAGCCTTTGCATAGATCATTTCTTCTCATTCTTTCATGTGGTTCTTTCTGGCTTCAATTAATTTTGTGGTATATATAGGTGTTTTTTTGAGTTTTTTTTTTATTTTATTTGGTATTTACTTGTCTTTTTAATACTTATAGTGAATATTTTGGCTTCTCTTGCAGCCTTTGCATGGATCATTCCTTCTTATTCTTTCGTGTAGTTCTTTCTAGCTTCAATTGATCTTGTGGTATGTATGGGTATTTTTTTGGGGGTTTTTTTTTTATTTGGTTCTTACTTGTCACTTTGATACTTATAGTGAATGTTTTAGCTTTTCTTGTAATCTTGTGTAGATCTTTCTTTTTCATTCTTTTATGTGGTACTTTCTGGCTTTTCTTGATCTTGTGTATGTATTAGATTTTTTTTATTTTTTTTTATCTTGGTTCTTACTTGTTTCTTTAATACTTATAGTAGATATTTTAGCTTCTCTTGTAGTCTTGCATGGATCTTTTCTTCTTATTCTTTTGTGTGGTTCTTTCCAGCTTCAATTGATCTTCTTGTGGTATATATAGGTATTTTTTTTGAGTTTTTTTTTATATAGTTCTTACTTGTCTCTTTGATACTTATAGTAGATATTTTGGCTTCTCTTGCAGTCTTTATGTGGATTATTTTTTCTCATTCTTTCATGTAGTTCTTTCTGGCTTCAATGATTTTGTGGTATGTATAGGTGTTTTTTTTAATTTTTTTTATTTAGTTCTTACTTGTTTCTCTGATACTTATAGTGGATGTTTCAGCTTCTCTTGCGGTCTTTGTATGAATCTTTCTTTCTCATTCTTTTGCATAGTTCTTTCGGCTTCAATTGATCTTGTAGTATGTATAGATGTTTTTTTAAGTTTTTTTTTGATTTAGTTCTTACTTGTCTCTCTGATATTTATGGTAGATGTTTCAGCTTTTCTTGTGGTCTTTGTATGAATCTTTTCTTCTCATTCTTTCATATGGTTCTTTCTGGCTTCAATTGATCTTGTGGTATGTATGGGTGTTTTTTTTGAGTTTTTTTTTTATTTGGTTTTACTTGTCTCTTTGATACTTATAGTGGATGTTTTGGCTTTTCTTGTGGTCTTTACTTGGATCTTGCCTTCTCATTCTTTTGTGTAGTTTTTTCTGGCTTCTTTTAATCTTGTGGTATGTATAGAGTTTTTGATTTTTTTTTTATTTGGTTTTTACTTGTCTTTTTGATACTTATGGTAGATGTTTCAGCTTCTCTTGTGGTCTTGCCTAGATTTTTTTTTTCATTCTTTTATGTAGTTCTTTTCAGTTTAAATTGATCTTCTTGTAGTATCTATGGGTATTTTTTTTGAGTTTTTTTATATAGTTCTTACTTGTCACTTTGATACTTATGGTGGATATTTCAGCTTCTCTTGTGGTCTTGTGTAGATCTTTCCTTCTCATTCTTTCGTGTAGTTTTTTCTAGCTTAAATTGATCTTCTTGTGGTATTTATGGTTATTTTTTTGAGTTTTTTTTTTATATAATTCTTACTTGTCACTTTGATATTTATGGTGGATGTTTCAGCTTCTCTTGTAGTCTTGCATAAATTTTTTCTTCTTATTCTTTCATAGGGTTTTTTCTGGCTTTTTTTGATCTTTTTGTGGTATGTATATGCTTTTTTTCTTTTTTTTCTCTTTTTGAATTATTGGTTTTACTGGTCTCTTGTAATTCTTTTAGAGTCTATGGTAAATCTTTTCACCCTTTCTTGTAGTTCTTTTAATGATCTTTTTGATTTTTTTTGTGGTCTTTGTAGTGATTTTGATGAATATTTCTGGCTTCTTATTTTTTGGCTATTTTTTTTTGGCTTTTATATAGTTTTATTCAGCTTTTTTACTTGTATTTTTTTTTACTCTATTATAATTTTAGACATAGTAGTATATGCTTAGATTTGAGTGTCACAAATGAAAACCTGTAATTCTTATTAAATAAAAAAATTAAGTCTTCTTTGCAGCACTTATATAAATTGGGATAATAATCTGCTATTTTTTTATGTAACAAAAATTGGTTATTTTATTATGCAAAACTTATAAATAAGAATACAATTGAGTTTCATGCTAAATAAAGTTGATCTTCAATTTTTATTTTGATAATTGTATGGTTATGCAAACTTGGAGTTATTTTTTAAAGCTTTGAGAATCATAATATTAATTTTATATAGTCTAATTTTTTTTCAAATTCTCTAGTGCTAGCATCTTATTAATAGTAAATTCAATGTGTGATCATTATGCGTGATCCCAATGCGTGATCGTTATGCATGATCTCAATGAGTAATCTTTATGCATAAATATTATGCATAATCATTATGCACAAGCATGCAAAAAAATTATCAGTACAGTTAAAGGATAAATATAAAAGATGTTGCATTATGTAATACGAAGCCAAAAAAAATTGCATTCACTCATTTCTAACATACGTACTAATTTTTGCGCAATAAACTCATATCGTGCCAATATTGTTCATAATCTTGTATTTTAAAAAAGATTTATAGTATTCGATTCAATTTTCTTGTATTTATAAAGATTTATTGCACGTACCTATTATTTTTTTAAAAAATGTCTTTACCACCAACTATTAATGATTTCAAGCCCGTCTATAACTTAGTTGAATTAGAATTAGAAGATTATAAAGAAAATGAACTAGTTTTAGACACGATTCATGAGTTAAAATTGTTTTTTCAAAATTCTAATAATTGTACTTGCTGTCGAACACCAAAACAAAAAGATCTTAGAACCTGTTTTGAAAAAGTAGGGTTTAAACGTTTTTTTGAAAGACATTTTGAGTTAAAAGCTTTAGAGGAACATGAGCTTGAACTTTTTATAAAATTACAATTAATATCATTCAAAATTAGTGATGAAAAATTAAAGAATAAAACACAAAAGCATATATACAGATATAATTATAATAGTTCATTACTTCTTTGTAAACTTATGTATTTAAAGTTATATAAAATTAATGATTATTTACTTTGTATACTACAAAATTATTTACAATTAAATGGGTTAACTGAACATGTTCATAGAAATACTGGGCACGTATCTAAAACAGATTCAAGAGTTTTTTTAGATCTTGAGATAACATTTCCAATTAAACAATTTTTAGTGCAATATGGAACAATTCACAGATTTCCTTCTCCATTATAGCATCAAGATGATTCTGATGTTTTTATTTATCTTCTGACTGGTCAAACCTACGTTTCGGTTTATAATGAATATAAAAAAAACTTTTATCTTACTCATAATGAATCTGAAAAAATAATCTCATATTTTACGTTTAGAAAATTATGGTATGAGATAGCTCCTAATATTCGATTTCAGCCATGTGCAAGTGATCTTTGTGAGGTTTGTACTTCTTTTAAGGCTAAATTATTAGTCACCAAACAGGATATTGATGAATATAATAAAGTCCAAGCTGAATATAACAAACATACAGAGGCTGCAGAATGTGAAAGACAACATTACAATAACAATATTGAAGAGAGTAAAAATAACCCAGATATTACACATATTTGTTACGATTGGGCACAAAATGTTTATTTACCATATTCGCCGCAACAAGTTGGTCCAATTTATTTTAAATCTTCTTTTTCTGTAAATATTTTTGGCATCTGTAAAACAGGTGAACAAAATTATCAATTAAATTTTTTAATTGGCGAAAATGAAATTCCCGAAGGGGTTGCAAAAGAAGCTAACACTACGTTAAATATGGTATATTATTTTCTTAAAACTAAAAAAACAAAAAAATTAAGAGTAACTTGTGACAACTGTAGCGGTCAAAATAAGAACAACTTATCACTTTGGTTTTGGTCTTGGTTATATTCATTAGATTGGTATGAAGAAATTATCGTTAATTTTATGCTCCCCGGGCACACAAAGTTTATCTGTGATTCTATTTTTTGGACATATTAAAAAAGTTTATAGAGATAATCATGTTAATACTATTGATAATATAGAAAATATAGTAAATAATTCATCAAAAAGAAATAACGCGATTTAATATAAAAATGATACAGGATGGGTTTGGCATGACTTTAGTTCTCTTTTTAAAAATAATTTCAAATCTTTACCAATTATAAAACAATATTATCATTTTCGATTTAATAGCTTAGAACTCTGTAAAGTTTTTGCCTCAAAAAAATCAGGTGGAGAAGAAATTTGTTTTCAATTATTGTATAATGATAACTTTGATAAAAATGGTCAATTAAATACTATTTCTTCTGTACCATTATCAAATGACTGAAAAAAATATTTATATACGAAAATTCGTCAACACGTTGATGATCCTTATAAAAACATTCTTTGCCCACAACCTTAAAATTAAAAAAAAAAAAATTTATAAATATAGGATTCTCATCAAAAAAGTGACGAGCCAACATTATTGTGAAATCAGTGATTCTGATCACATGAATAAGACACGTAGACACATATACAAGAAAATGTATATGCGTAATAGTTAAAGAACAATTAATATATGATATAATTCAGTTTTTGCATAATAAATATCATAAGAAATTTTAAATAAATAAATAAATAAAAGAAAATTGTATTGCAAGTAAATGACGAAATATCATAATTAAGAGATTTATAAGCATTCAATTTGAATTAGCAGAACTCTATCTTTTGATTTTGCTATTATCCACCTTGTATTATTAGTGTCACAGAGTTTCCCTATCTCCCATGTATTTGTGGTTTTACTATCAATCTTCACTCGCTTGGCTAATACGTATATACGATGACTAGAGTATCGTATCAGATACTACCACTGATAATGTAATCACAGAGATAACACAGTGTATTCACTAAGAATAACTCAAAGAGATCGCGAGAACTAATAAGAATTAAAGCTAGGCACTTCCCTATTTGGATCGATGTCTTATATTTATTACTATTGCTAATGATTACTACATTGCTCATGCAATCACTATTATTACTAATCGCTACTGATTACTACATTGTTCATGTAATCACTATTTTAGACTTTTAATTAAATTGTGATCACGCCATTCATGCAAATCCCGATCACGATATTCGACCAACATGTACCCGATTATAAGTCATATAGGTACTGCGTAGTACCACGACAATTAGGTTTTATAAACTAATACTTTAAAAAAATATTGTATTAAGGTTGAGAAGTCATATATGAAGGAATAGAAATGATCATGACTTGAAGGTTATAACGTATATTATAGACAATAATATTGCTGTTAATATATAAAGTGCAACGTGGCTCTGAGGCTAAGTAGCGCTAATCAATATTCAGCCATCTAGTATTTATATCAAAAGAAAAAAAAAGAAAAAGACGAAATAGAATTATTAGCTAAGATCTTTAAGTTTATTGGTTTACATTTTATATAATTTTTAGATCTAAAAAAAATTAATTTAAAACATGCTGTATAAACTATATATTGTAGTAACTATTGACTTCTTTTAAAAATTTGTTTTTTTTTAGGTTTAGACAAAGTTTTGGGAGCAATAATGCTAGAAAATTCATACGCCATTATGTAATTACTATAAATTTTTATATTCTATTCAGCCAGATTGCTAAAACATAAAGCCTAACTCACTTATTGAGATTTTATATTTAATAGAATCAATTCACCACAATACTTTATACATGTTGAGCATTTAAATTAAACTTTTTTGCACAGTATTATTTCTACTCAATTAATATAAAATTAGAATCTAAAAAATCAAATATAGATTAGTTATATGAAGTGTTTAAAATTAATTTTGTTTCAATATACAGAAAAGGTTGATAATTTTTGTTAAACATAAAAATTCAAAAAAAGATCCATGAAATGCATATTCAAAGAAAATTTTACTTGTGGAAGTAATTTTCAATATGCGTACCGCAGTCCACATATAGATTTTAAACACTGGTTATGCGTATCAAAGATAGATAGATAGATATGTATATGCTATAAATAAAGTATAGATATTTAATGAGCTAAATTACTCTTTCTTGTAAAATACTTGATGGTTATTAATATAGTATTGGTGTAAATAGTACAATATAAGTGTAAAATTTACACTAACGTAATATTAAAATGCCCAAGTGGTTGGTCTATAGAATACGGTAATTTCTTAGAAGCTGCCTGATGGCTACCTCAATATAAAAAAGCGCGCAAAAATAGCATGATAAGTAAAATTATTTCCTTATTTTTTATATTATAGGATTAATTAAAATTTACGATTTTAATTGGTTAATATATACCCCGGGTTAAATGCACCCTGAAATCTGCAAAGATCGGCGATCAGCATATCTAAAATTAGCGACAAATCAAATTCGGGTTGTTTTGGTTACACAATCTTAAATCGTTGTTTACTCAAAAAAAATTTATAGTGCCGTAGGGTCATTTTCAAGGCAAAAACCCCATATGAGATAACGGTCATTTAAGGTAAGCACCGAGGTCATAATGATTTAATTTTGATCGTCATAATTAATGTCGTCATCATTTGTAATCTATGCAATTCTTCAATGTGTGTGCCAGGTTTGTGGCGCAGATTGCCTGAGCTACGAATCAGATTTCAAAATCAGGGCATTACTTGAATTTGTGGCGCAGTCAAAATTATTTAAAGTTCGTTCATGTTAGTGTTAGAGTCAAGACTCATTAATACTAGAGATTAGAGAGCTACATAGTAAAATTGCTCAAGGAAAATTTTTTATTAGTGTACGAAGAGTAGTTATATATGCAATTCTTCGAGAAAAAAGTGATTTTTGACGAAATGCGCCGTTCGTTTTGAATTTTCCCGTTACACCTGATTTTGCACCCTTGAATGTGTGCCAGGTTTGTGGCGCAGGTTGCCTGAGCTATGAATTTGATTTCAAGATCAGTTGCAACGTAACACGATCAAGAAAATTCAATTTCATTTTTCTTGCTTCTTGTAATTCTACATAATAAACCACTTTTAGTGCTCTAACAAAAAGGTTTTCGTTGGGCAATTTTACTATGCAAACTACCCTTCTCTAGCCCATAACACTAATCCTAACGCTAAAATGAAAGAACTTTAAAGAATTTGTGCTGCGCCATTATCTAAAAGATAATATTCGGGCATATAGCATTTACTATACTATAATTACGTTATATTTCTAAGTTTTGTTTGTTTAACGAGTATTAAAAACCTTTATCAATAACTTTCGAATAGTCCGAATTTACATGTTATACATGATCGTACTGGTCCTGCGCGGCGTCACACGTTGCGCAGCTACCCTTATTATTTATCTTTATTAAAAAAATAGTTTAGAAAGGAATGTTTGACATTATTTTTTAAACAAATAAATATTTGAAAATTACAAATTACAGAAATCCATCGAAGATGAAGCATAACATTAAAAACAAGAAACCATTATGATAATTTCCATAGACGTTTTAATTATTACATATTTGATATAAGAATTTTTTAAAGACTTAATTATTTTATATTAATAAAAATATTACGCATATTCAGATTTACCAGATGATTATATATGAATATTTATGCCGTAAATTTGCTAATGAGAGTTCAAATGTTTAAAAATTCAGATAGTAATCCTAGACCGAATTTGACTTGCGTAAGTAGTAAACGTACTTTTTTCGGCAGGTGTAAAACTTTTCCATATTATTTCTGTAGATTGCCCAATCACAAATCCGTTAGTTATATTTACTAAAAGTCCTTCTTCATTAATTCTTGCTCTAAGTAAATTGTAAGCTGTAATATATTTTCCTTTCTTTACTCGTTGTAAAATTTGAGTAAGCAAATTTCTATTAATATTATTTACATTTAAAATCCTCTGTAAGACTAATGGATTTTGAAGATAAGTAACAAAATCTTGTACTTGATTTATGTAATTCATATTGCCATATATCATAAGTAAAGAAAAGTGGACGAGAGACCTGTGTATTTTATATCTAAATTCAAACGAATTTAAATGAATTTAAATGAATTTAAAATGGTCTTAATTATCTTAAAAGTTATTAATAGTATACTGCCTCGTTAGTCTTCGGATATATACAAATAGAATAAGAACAATACTAAATTTTTTAATGCAATTGTGTGAAATGGAGCCACTTGATCATATTATGATCATATGGCAATTATTAAATTATCTTTTGCTAATTTGAACTTATATAGAATAGCAAGTTAAAATTGTTAGATAACATTAGCAGAAGATAATTTTAATTTTGATATTTCATTTATGTATCGCTTCGTAACTGACATTTATTTTTTTTTAACTCTTTTTGCCAAAAATTTTTACAGTAAGCGTTCGCATTAGGATGATACCTGATTATACTTATCCAATCATAAATTTGAGATCGCTTTTATCGTTATCAGAGCTTTGTATCACATATTTTGATTGGTCACAAGACTTTAACTTGTTTATTCAATTCAAAAAATATATAACGTACCAGTACGTATGTACGTAAATATATTGTATGTAAATATATCGGAAAAGACCGAAAAATCCTGCATGGTTTGATTTATTCTTTAACAAATTATTATCCTTTTTTAGACAAATCCTTTTATTACAATGGTTCACGAAAATAAGTCAGATGGTTTAAAAATGAACAATCATCTTACTTAAACCATATATAAATTTTATAAAACATTAAAACATTGATCGAATGAAATATTTACAATCTAGGAAATGTTCATTTTAC